GTGTGTAGGACACACGTTCTCCTTCCCCTCTCCATCATCTTGTAATTGCTCATGAAGACATCACTCTTAGTACTTTGTAATGATAGAGGAAAACAACGTGAACATGTGCCTGGGTATTGGCCACATTTCAATATGCTATTTCTGTCAAACTCTGGAAGATCTAAACAAATACAAATTGTCTGGGAATCTACAAACACTTTCAAAATCCAGGGAGCACTGTGGTACACAGAGATAACAACTTCAATTAGAAAGCTACCTCCAGAGTCAGACAGAATGACTCTACGGAAATGGGAGACAGATTATGGCTCCAGGGTGAATCCGGAATCCTGAAGGAGGATTCAAGAGAAGGAAATCCGATGTAAACAGAGTAGATTGAAGGAGACTGAAGGAGAAGGCTAGATTTGAACCAAAGTCCCACTGACACAGATCAGCTATTACATAAACCTAAGTCTCAGATTTAAAAAAAAAAAGGGGGGGTATTTCCATATTGTATTGATGATTAGCAGTGTACAGGAAAAATTAATTCTTTAAATTAAGTGGTCATGCTTTCCAGGCACATTTTATGAGAGAGAAGGCTACCATAAACTGAGACAGCATAGTTAACTGGGAGAAGTAGGGAGGTGTGCCATAAAGTGGCCTTCTAGCCTTGTTCTCAGGTACACTGAGAGCACCAGTTGGCATGGTTTGAAGAGGGAATAGAGAACATCAGACAGCTCTTTGAATTAATTAACTGAAGGTTGGTGAAGCGAGCTACTTTATTTAACTTCAATAATCTTCCTTTCTTTGGAGAATTCAAGGATTTCCTTCAGATACCAGTATGGCAATACAAGTGTCACAAGTTTTGGGGACAAGAAGTTTGGCCACCTGTAAACCTCCTGCCTTCTCACCACTGTCCTCTGTGACTTCAACGCCATATGATGACTCTTCCCACCTTGGGTTACAGGTCCTCAGTCTCTTTGATGCCCCTTCGTCTCTTACCCCCACCTAGCACCCTGGATTGACTCCACTCAACACTCTCTTCTTCATTTCTGCCTGTTTTCCACCTTCATGAAGACATTATACTCCCCTCCACTTCCTTTCTATCTTCTCCAACTCTTCTTTTTTCATCCCTTTCTCTGGCTCTTCCTCCTCTTCCTGATCCTAAGATCAAAGGGTTTCTGGCATCCTTCATCCTTCCTCTCCTCATGCTGTGATGCACTCCCTCCTTGGGTGACCTCAACCTTTTCTCTGAACCTCCACTATCGATCACCTCTGTGTGAATGAGGCAGCCTAATTTTTTTTCTTCTATTTTCTACTGCTCTCCCATGCTGGAGGATCACATTTTCCATTGCTGGTTTTCTCAGACTGTACCAAAGGCTCAAAATCACCTTCTCAAAAACTAAACTTACCAGTTTTACCTCCTAAGCCTACTCTTTCTCCTAACATCCCCCTTAATAACGATAATTGTTTATTGAGTGCTTGCCCTGTGGAAGACACTGTTCTAAGTAATTTATGTGAGGTAACTTGTTTGGTCCTCACAGCAGTTCCATGAAGAAGAAGCTACTGTTTCCCCAACTTTACAGATAAACGGACACACAGAGAGGTTGTTTATGATTACATAATTACTGAAAGTCAAGGCTAGGATTGGAATATAGGCAGTCCAGCCTCAGAACTGAACACTTAACTACTATTCTGTATTATCTCTTAACCCGATTTCATTTCTCACATTTGTCTTCAATTCCTCTATCTCCTATCCATCCAAATTTCATTGATTTTCTTTCTGCGAAGCCTCTCTCTTCTGTTGGTTGTCCCAACTCCCCTAGGCTCATTACTTCTTATCTAGACCAGTTTTATTGACTTTCATTTATTCTCTAATTGTCCTCTCTCTAGGTCCACTACACCTGAATTTTCTTTTTATAAAAATGAAAATAGTTTTTTCTCACCTGGATATAAAAATAACACATGCTTATGTATCACAATCAGAAGATTAAAACAAGTATATAAAAAAGAAACCAAAAACCCAAATCATAATTTAGCCTCTCTGCAGTGATATTATATTGGTATATATTCCAAATATTTTTCTCTTTTTATTCATATACACAGACACATACTTTTTTAAATTAAAAAATTAGATATTTAGTTACTGCATATTAATTTTTTCACTGATAACACTAGGTATTATAAGTCTTGTTCACATTTGCCAATCTTTTTTTCTTTTACTTTTTTCCTTTCTTTTCATATTTGCCAATCTTAAAGGCAAATATACCTGTGTGTTAGTTTGCATTTTTCTAGTTACTAATGACACTGAATATTTTTCATAGGTTTAATGGATATTGTATTATCAGTCTTGTGATCGGCCTTTGCCCAGATTTTATAGAAGATTTTCAGACTTTTTTTTTTATGTTTTTTCATTTTGGAGAGAGAGAGAGTAAGCAGGGGAGGGGCAGAGAGAGAGGGAGACACAGAATCTGAAGCAGGCTCCAATCTCTGAGCTGTCAGCACAGAGCCTGATGTGGGGCTCGAAACCACAAACTGTGTGATCGTGACCTGAGCCAAAGTCAGATGCTTAACGAATGAGCCACCCAGGTACCCAATCAGACTTTTTCTTATTGATTTTTATGAGCTCTTTATATATTAAATGTGTTAACATTTTGTTTATCATGTGTATTACAGAAAAAATTCTTTTGAGTTGTTCCTCTTTCAATTTAGTTTATGTCTGCGTTTTTTTGTTTTGTTTTGTTTTGTTTTGTTTTTTGGGGGATTGTTTTGTTTTGCCATATAAACATTTAAAAATTTTATGTAGTCATATATACAATTTTTTCTCTGGTGTTCTGTGGCCAGATTACTATTTCTTTTATTATTTTTTTATTTTATTAATTTTTTTTTAACGTTTATTATTTTTGGGACAGAGAGAGACAGAGCATGAATGGGGGAGGGGCAGAGAGAGAGGGAGACACAGAATCGGAAACAGGCTCCAGGCTCTGAGCCATCAGCCCAGAGCCTGACGCGGGGCTCGAACTCACGGAGTGCGAGATCGTGACCTGGCTGAAGTCGGACGCTTAACTGACTACGCCACCCAGGCGCCCCCAGATTACTATTTCTAATTGTCAGTTTAGATCACATGACCTCTATAATGAGTATTGGTCCCCACAGCTTATAGAAGCCCAAACTCCTCAGCTAGTTGATAAGCCCTTTCATTGGTCAGGTCACATCTCACCTTGCTCCTGGGTACTTTCTTTCATACATTTCATTCAAGCACAATAAATCACCATTCTGAAAATTCATCTCATATTTCCTCACTATTAAAAATTGTAACAAAAAAAGTAAAAAGATTTTAATAGTGAATGGGAAAGGTCGTTAAAATAGATTGATCCACGGGCACCTGGCCGGCTCAGTTGGTAGAGCATATGACACTTGATCTTGGGGTTGTGAGTTTGAACTCCAAGTTGGGTAGAGAGATAACTTAAGTAAATAAATCTTAAAAAAAATAAAACAGGGGCGCCTGGGTGGCGCAGTCGGTTAAGCGTCCGACTTCAGCCAGGTCACGATCTCGCGGTCCGTGGGTTCGAGCCCCGCGTCGGGCTCTGGGCTGATGGCTCAGAGCCTGGAGCCTGTTTCCTATTCTGTGTCTCCCTCTCTCTCTGCCCCTCCCCCGTTCATGCTCTGTCTCTCTCTGTCCCAAAAATAAAATAAAACGTTGAAAAAAAATAAAACAGATTGATCCAATATTCTTAAAATTAAATTTCAGGAATGGTAATTTTTCAAAAGCAGAGGCAGAACACATTGGGACCTTGCTTTAAGATTCCTGTGTGCTTGGGATAAGAGAAGCTGAGGATGAGTACAAGGTCACTTGGTACAGGTTAGGATATTCTGCTACAACCTGAATGCATTCAAATGATGTAACCTGGATGGTGAGGGCTGCACGCATAAGCTCCTCTTGGTTACCTGTTATAGTGAGCTAACTACTAACCTAGAGTCTACCCAGAGCTTTTCCTATCCAGAATTCCCAAACCCTTTCATGTGGTTCTCTTTACCTGGAGTGCTCTCTCTCAGATTCTCTCTATCCCTCCTCATATCAACTGATATCAATCTTCTGAGTCTCAGCTCAAAAGCAGGCTCCATTTTTGATCCTCGAGAAATAAGCACTGCTTCTTACAGTTTGCAGCACTCTATTATTTCCTCGAGCCACTCAGCACATTCCTCTCTTGCCTCACGAACACTTGAGCACACTATCTCCTTACCGTACTGTAAATTCCTTGAAGGCAGAACTCATATGTCATCTTGGAGTACTCCTTCCGAACTAAACAGAGGGCACGAGATGATCTTCAGTAAGTGTGCTGAATAAAGACTATCAGGTCCAGGTCAATGTTACATTACTAAAGCCACTATCTAGGGTTTACTATTGGACAGTGCCTGAGAAACTTTTTGGAGGGCCATGCCAGGGTTAGGAGCAGACCTGAGATCATTGGCTTAGGCTTTCCTTTTGATTCTCAAGCAGTTCTGCCATGTTAGCTCAACATTCACCTCAGTGTTAGAAACCAAGCCAAGTCAACATCCCTGAGACCAGTATTTGCTCTAGAACATTCACTAAGCTACCAAAAGCATGTGGCTAGACCCTCAATGTCTTCCACCCGGTCCTACCATTTCTGTGGTAACAACACAGCTAAGTTTCTGTAACACACCCACACAGGGCAAGGCTGTTGTTTACTAAAACAGGACATAATTTACAACAGTTGATTTTGCTCACACAGAGGCTCAACGCAAAGGTATTTAGCCCAGAGAGAGACTGAGAATGTCGTACCTGGATGTTAACATCCGCCCCGTTGTTTACCAATAGTTCAAGACACAAAGCACCGTGTGTGGAGGCAGCAGCGAAATGCAAAGGGGTGAACCCGCTGTTGTTGGGCTGGTTCACGTTAGCACCGTAGTCAGTCAGCTCATTAACTACAGCATCTTGCCCATTGTAGCAGGCCAGGTGAAGGGCCGTGTTTCCATAGATGTTGATTTCATCAATCTGCAAATGAGTCCAACACAGGATGGGTAAAATCACCAGAGCCACTTTATTGCATTTTCCACAAGAAAGCCTAATGGCTACACTAAGGGAAGTAAACTTCCATCTGCCAACATAATTATTCAGAGCTTTCTCTTGTCCCGGTGTGGTCATCCTGGGAATGCCTGTCATCCCGAGATAAAGACAGCAAAAAGTGAATGTGACAAAAAGTGAACTGGGAGGAAGAGTTGGAGGTTTCAAGTCATGGGGAGAGATTTTTCAGCAAGGGAAGGGATAAAGAGTGAAAGGCAAAACTGCCTCAAAATGGCAGAGGAGAACTGAATCAGGGAAGAAAAGAGCCAAAACTCAACAGAGAACGGGAAGCGAAGGGTTGGGAGATATGCAGGGAGGTGCTGCAGATTCTAAACTAGGAGTTGGGCTCAGAAGCCACTTGGTTTGGCTCTGCCGTCCGACACCTCCCACGGCCACGTCCCAGCTGCAGAGCCAAGAGCTGTCTTAGGGATTTAGCTCAGGGCTCTCTCCTGCTGTCCCAGAACTGCTGCACTGCTGGGTTTCACTATCTCAGTCTCAGCATTGCAACTTGGTTTTCCTTTCCTCCAGGGACAGGGATGTTCCAAAGCCCCACACTGCCCCTGTTCTGCTAGTTGAGGGAGGGGCTGGGATGGGGCTGACTTCTCCAGCTCAGCATTGGACATTTCTGCTGTTTGTCCCTGCCACTCACTCCTTTATTTCTGCGTGTACACCACAACTTAGAAGGCTGAATTCTGAAGGTGGGATGGAGAACCGTAGCCTATTTAAAAAACAACAGGTTGGGGCGCCTGGGTGGCGCAGTCGGTTGAGCGTCCGACTTCAGCCAGGTCACGATCTCGCGGTCCGTGAGTTCGAGCCCCGCGTCGGGCTCTGGGCTGATGGCTCGGAGCCTGGAGCCTGTTTCCGATTCTGTGTCTCCCTCTCTCTCTGCCCCTCCCCCGTTCATGCTCTGTCTCTCTCTGTCCCAAAAATAAATAAAAAACAACAGGTTAATAATATGTACTACAGGCAACATATATGTTTATAATTCTCTATGTTGATACAGAAAGTTAGCCTGTTTCTGGTTTTTCATTACTTGCTATATGCCCCCATTGCCCTTCATTGATTGCCCCTGTAAACTCAAAAAGACAGGACGCTAGAATAGAAGGTGGGTTTTTTTTTTTTTTTTTACCCTCTGGAATTAAAAATCAAACAGGATTCAATTTCAGAACAACAGAAAACCCACAAATACACCATGGGTTGATGCATTAAGCATAGCTCACCTCCACCCCTAGATTCAGGAGATGTTTGACAACGTTGATCTGTCCGTTGGAGGCTGCAGCGTGCAGGGGGGTATAACCCTTCTTATCCTTACAAGTCACTTCTGCGCCGTGGTTAATGAGCAATGCCACAACATCCAGGTGGCCTTTACAAACAAAACAACAGACGACATGGTGAACCTTTTTAGGATAATTTGATGATTTATTCCACCTAAAACATCACTATTAGCTTCTACTGTCACCAATATTGCAAATCCTGCTAAATATGTTAGTACCACAACCTAAAATATGTTAAAATAAAAGCAATGCTTTTGAAAGCAATTGCCATTCCTCACTGAAAAGTCCAACAATGACAGTTTGGTTTGGAAAAACTAATGGAAGAAAAAAAATCAATCGGAATAACTCCAGATTATTGTTAAATTATATTGCTGCTGCTTGACCATAGTTGTGGATCACAGAAGTGGCAATTCATATGGTTCAACTTAAAAGTATTCTTGTGAATTACTGGCTAAATAGAAACCCTTCTAGTTTCAACTCCTGTTGACATATTTTCTAGAATATTTTCCTTTATACCCTATCTCACTATATAAATAGTATGATAAATGTGTTTGGCCTTTATATTGTGACTGGAGATTATTTGATGCTTTGGGTCATTGCTCTAAACATGGTTCATAATTGAAGGGTAGAAGGTAAGTACTAACTCCAAGGGTCTAAGATGCATGTGGGATTGTGTGTGCATATGTGTGAGAAAGAGAGAGACGGAGGGAGGGGTGTATTGGGGGGGGGGCGGAAGGTGTGTGTGTGTGTGTGTGTGTGTGTGTGTGTGTGTGTGTGTGTGTATGAGACACAGAGAGAGCATTTGGCCATGGCTTGTTGTATTAAAATTTGACTCTTTTCCCCCAAGACTTGTATATGGAAAAATTACTTTCAATTACTAGTGGTGCTATCTTAAGCTTAAGTGGTGTTATCTTTTGTCCTGGTTTTGTCCTTTATTCCCTAAAGATAGTCATCTATATATTTTTTTCCTATTTGTATCCTGATGACACACAAAAAGCAATTCCATACAAATGCTGAAAGCAATTCTACACGAATGTTTTAACTATATGTTAGCAAAGAACAAACTTGAAACCCCAGGTTCTTTGAGTCCCATCTCACACTAGTCTAGTGTGTGCTCTACACAAACACCAGTCTGGCAAATGTCCTCTTGACTCCAGTCCTGCAGGTACCATGCAGACATCCAATCTGCTTCAATCGGCACAAAAGTCCCTGCTGTCTTTAAAAAAAAATGATAATGCTTGCAAGATCTTAAGATTCTGATGTTTTAAGCACAAATGTCCATGCAGACTCATCTACAGCCACATAATTTATTTCATCCCTACCCAATCCACTCTTTTTTCTCCCCACAATTAATGTTATTATTTTTATGATAATAAAAGGCCTGTATGCCTACTAAAAAGATTTCGGAAAAGGCAAAACGGTGTTAAAAGGAAACCAAAATCATCCATAATCGCCAATCCCTTGAGATGATCAGCCAACATTTCAGTGTGTAATACTGAACAGACATTTCAGTGTATACTGAATAGACAGCCAAACAGATAGTTTAGATTGCATGGATTTTTTTTTTTTTACAAAAATGAGGATCATAATATCCATACTGTGTATTGATCTGTTTTTACTTAACATATCACAGAATCTTTGTATGTTAATAAATACTAATGACATCATCACTATAGTTACAGGATAGTGTCCCATTGTGCTTATCTTTATAATTCACCAACACAATCTCCTGTGGATGGGCATTCGGGTTGTTTATAACTTGGGGCTGACAGAATCCTATCAGCTTTTCAAATTGCAGGACGTTCTCCAGTTAGAAACACAAAGGAAGGATCTTAGCTCTTCATTTCCCACAAGTCTACACTGAGAATAAATTCCATGAGGTCTGTCATTTGTGAGTGGTATTCGTGCCAACAGAAGTGAAAAGGAAAAACACGGAAATGTCACGGCTCCCTTCATCTCTCCCCAGCGAGCTGGCAGAAGCGCGAGTGGCAAGCCCCAGCCTCGCGGTGGTACAGAAGCAGGATACTCCATGGTTACTCTCGTCACTTCAACCTCCGTAACAGCCAGGGGGCTGCCCTTCCTTCCTTTTTGTTTATTTCAAAAATATTTATAAATAAAAGGACAAATGGAATTTATGTCCTTGCTTTGCTAGCCAGCCCTCTTTCTTTTTGAACACTTCATTTTGCTGCCATGACAAGCTCAAAAGAAGCTCAATTCACGCCACTCTCCAGTCCCGACTGAAACCCATTCAATGAGGTCTGGGCCATGATTCATCCCTCTTCCTCTCTGTGGGGTAAACGAATCTCTGAGAAAGCAACTGTGTAACTAGAGTGCTCTATGCATGCCAGTAAAAGGGACCAAATCTTAACTTGGGTGAATTCCAACCTTGGAACGAAGTCAGGCCTGCCCAAGAGAAGGCCTACATGGTTAATGGCAGGGCTGTGGCTTCTTTAGGTACAGGTATCTGCACTTTGCCTTCCATTCATGGAATCCTTACCCATATATGCTGCCCAGTGCAGAGCACGCCGGTCCTTTTTGTCAAATGCGTTGATGTTTGCTCCTTTGGCCAAGAGTAAGTTGACCATCTGGAAGAAAACCAACATGCAGATACTCTGAGTCAAATTAACATCAAATCTCAAGGCGGGTCAGAAACCTGGAGTTCACACAAAGTATGAAGATGATGTCACAGACAACCGCGAGGCATGTGTGTCAGAGGAAAAGACTGAGGTGATGGCTACTTTTTTAACCCACTGGCTGTGAATTTAAAAATTGCTATGGTTGCCTAAGGTTTGGTATACAGATGTAAGCATCACACTCTCTAAAACCCTCAGCACTAAGATTAGGTCTCACCTGGGGCTAAGGGAGTCTGTAGTAAGAATTGTTGCTCCCAGTGATGAGGGCACTCACCTCCACATGGCCATTCAGGGCAGCATGGTGCAAGGCTGTGCGCCCCCCTCGATCGGAGACGTTGACGCTGCTCAGCAGGGGAATGATCACTTCTGCACACTTGACAGCCTTATTGGCAGCTGCCACGTGGAGGGGGGTCTGCCAGTTCTTGTCCCTCGCATTGACGTCAGCCGAGTGCTTAATCAATACTTGTACTGCTTCCTGCAACGAAAGCGGAGTTTGCAGGGGTCACTGACAAATGCTCAGTCAGTACTTATTGAATAGAAGATGCTTTACCAGACCCCAGAACTACAGGAAGGGAAGGCTCCATGCCCTCAGAGGCTGGCTCATGATGTATATTCTTCTGAGAAAAGCTAGGTAATATATGATAAAGATCAAAAGAGTGGCACAGGTGAAAACAGATCCACTTTATCTTTATTTGCTAGACCAGGAGTCTTGGCACATCTTCAAAACCAAATAAACCTTCTAAACGTAAGGTTTCTTTTTAAAAAATTTTTTTAATGTTTATTTATTTTTGAGACAGAGAGAGACAGAGCATGAACAGGGGAGGGTCAGAGAGAGAGGGAGACACAGAATCTGAAACAGGCTCCAGGCTCTGAGCAGTCAGCACAGAGCCTGACGCGGGGCTCGAACTCACGGACCATGAGATCATGACCTGAGCTGAAGTCGGCCGCTCAACCGACTGAGCCACCCAGGCACCCCTAAACGTAAGGTTTCTTAATGAGGTATAAGCAGCCTTAGGTTAAATGTGAGCACTCATGCGTAGGTACGCATGCCAGGGTAAAAATATCCATAGGTCAAAAAGCCCCCAAAGATAATGTAAAGTTGGAAGGGTTTGTCCATAAGCCTCCATCATCCAAAGCCAAAGACCTCAAAGTCCTTCAGACATTCTTGGATCAATTCATAAATCTTTGGTTTTCTCTGCCAACATCTTAACCTTCACTGTGTGATCCATAGCAATCAAGGGAAGATGTCTATTACTACCTCAACTTGAAGCTACAAAATTGTTCCATCCTTTCCCAACTTTTTTCCATGTTATGGTGAGGTAATTTTTTCCTACTGTTGAGTTCCTTCACCTTTATTGAGACTTACACTTTTAATTTTCCTTCTATTGATTTAATCCGCTTATTAGCCTCTTGAAACCTCAACCTTGGCTGTGCAATGGAATCACCTGGGGAACTCTTAAAAATACAGATGGCTGGTCCCACACCAGAGATTCTAACTGGCCTCAGAATTTCTGTAAAGCCATCTGGGGATTTTGTTATACAGCTAAGATTTAGGACACTCTTCTGTTACAGCAAGAAAATGATATAGCTTCTCTCAAGATGGGAATGACTGTTGACTGTTTCTCTTTACTTCTAGAGACAACCCTAGAGCCAATGAGTGGGATGCCTTTATGAACATCTTGTCAGTGTGGCATCAATAAACCAATAAAACGCAATGAAAGGTACCACGCTCCTGCCACCCTTCATAGATCAAGAACTTACCCTGTCCACCTTATTCCTCACAGGCCTGGACTGTCTGATCTACTTTATTATGCAGGTACATAAAAGTGCCCAGAGAGTAAATTATTTGAACTCTTGAAATTAACATTTTTATCAGGGACATAAATAATGAAGAAGAATATTCTAGGAATCAGTAGCAGCAACACATTAAGATGAATGGCTAACCTGGACAGTAGAATGAGAGCAAAAACATTTAATTTTGCAAATTAGAGAATACAGTTTAAATATGCGGTGTGACTCCATTTAGATGCTATAAACAATAAACTGAGAGGGTCCAAGCAAGTAATTTGTTAAAATTACCAAAAAGGAAAAAAAAAAAAAAGGATATATGCCACACCTCCTCAGCAAGGCAATAAAGTCCACAAAACATTCCTGGAGCTCATGTTAGAGTGAAACATGTCTACGTGCATTCTTCTCTCTCTCTTTTTTTTTTAAGTTTACTTATTTTAAAGAGAGAGAGAGAGAGAGAAAGTGGGGGGAGGAGCAGAGAGA